GTTGTCGAGTACTTGACACTTACAAAGTTGACATGTCGAGCACGAACAAAATAAAATTGTAAAATTCAATAGTACGAAAGTATGTAAAATTAATCCTACTGACTTCCTATGTTAGAGGGTATAAACTAAAACCGCCCTTAGACACATTGAGGCGTAAGAACATGGTAAGAGAACCATACGTGCACTGGGGCGCATAAAAACATTAAACTAATTGTTGTCCGTCAGTTCTTAGAATGTTGTTAGAATGGCCGGACGAGAGGCGGGTCGTCGTGGCTGCTCCAGGAGGGTAGGAAGGCGGCGAGCAGGCGGCTGAGGCAGGACGGCTCCCGCGGCGGCGGCGGCTGCCAGGGCGAGGCCAGCGCCCCGAGAGTGGCGGCCACGGCGGACAGGAGCACCACGACGAGCAGCGCCAGGACGGGGGCCAGCACCACCAGCGCGTGCATCAGCAGGGGGTGCTCGACGTGCAGGGCGAGCGGGCCGCGGGCGGCTGGGCACAGCGCCGCCGGCGCCGGCAGCGACAGCCTCGGCGTCAGCACCAGGGTCTCGGACTCCAGGCGCCGTATCTGCCTCTTGACCAGCAGTACCAGAGGATGGTGCATGTGCGGCACCAGCGCGCGCTCCCTGGCCAGGTCGGCGCACACCGCCGGCTCCTCGCTGCGAGACACGCAAAGGAAGAGTTCTCACCCTACGTTCCCGAAGCTCTCTGGGTGGGCGCCGTGGGGGTAGGCCGACCCGCTCAACACCCCTGTCATGACGGATTGCCTACCCGGCGTCCGGCGGGCGCTCGTGTTGGAATTCACATAACCGCGAGGTTTGGTCGCGGACGTGTGCCCTTGTGCCTCGGCCGACAGACACAAGACTTATTTTCAGTTCCCCGCGAACAGGAAAGGTAAACACAAAAAGTCAGGTTTGCGCTGAAATTCCAACCGTTCGACTGTACAGACTGTTCCGTCTTCAAGAAGGATGCGAGCAGAATAAGTCCGCACACACACCCTTTCCCTCGGCCCCTCCTGCCCCGTGCCCTTTTACCTCGTACTCACTCCTCGCTGCCGCTGTCGTCGGCGTCCTGGCTGGCGCCGGACGGCGTGCCGGGGCGACTCCAGTCTCCGGCGGACGCCGAGTCCCTGACCGAGTCCATGGAACGATCTCGAAAGTGACGTCGGACGGCGTCGCGACGTGCTTCGCGTGCTTCGGGGCCGAGCCCGCCAAACGCGACGCGACGTCGCGCCATCGGGCTGCGCGTCTGCTTGGCACTGGTTGCCCGGCAACCGGTGTCCGAGAGCGTCGCGTTGTTGGGAGGTGAGAGGCAAAAAGAAGTACAAAAAAACGCATATACTACTCCGTTAGCAGTATGCAGCATTTGCAGATTCGCAGCCATGTAATCCGTAGCAAATGCTACTGCTGCAAAATCACAAAGAGTATTGTCGAATGGCAGATGCCATTCCCCGACCCAGACTACAAGAAATCAAAACAAAAGGTTGCAAGAGAATGGGCACGGTGGGCCAAAAGCCTCTCCCTACCTGAGCAGCAATGTTCAACCCCTGGTGATCTTTGTCTCTCAATTTTTCCTGTCTAAATAATGTAATGAATAGACCAAAAATAAAATATAAATCTCATCACATAGATCAGCGAAGAGTTAGGACATTTTTGGAACACAATAACAAATTAATATCAGTAGCAGATATATAATTGCACTGGGTTTCGGAAACATCACAGATAAAACAAGTATTGAACAGTGTAA